ACATACAGTGTTTCCCCTAGGTTTACTGCCTTGGTTGGGTGCTGCTCGGGTGCCCCGAAAAAAAATTGTTATCCTCTGGAGCAGAGAGAGGAGCTGTGGATTATTGTTATTGATATCGTACAGTAACAAAGTATTTGTACATTAAAAAGTAATACAGTACAGTGTTACACTTTACTGTATTACTTTTATTCAAACTGTATTCCCTTCTTATCATGTAGCCTACACTTCTTCCTTTCATTGATACATTTAAATCACCTGACTACAGCATATAACATACCTGCTGCAACCCTGTGCTGCTGCTGCTGCTTCTCTCTGCCTCATCCTCTATTGCTGGAGGCAGCTCCACCTCATCTGATCTCTGATATGAAAGCAATCGTGTTATGATCATATTGAGCTATTGGTGTGAGTCTAAATTAACAGGGCAGTCTGGTTGTCATTCATTGCGTTCGATACTTTTAGTGGCATTGTTAGTCACTGCTGCGAACGCCGTTAGCATCTCAGGTTAGCAATCCTGATTAGCCTACATCATCAACAGTAACAGGGAACAGTCATTATCCTGAATATCTGAATATACAACTCGCACATTACTTGCCAGATTTAGACTCGATCGGGTAGCATTTCAAAAATGATATGGGGGGCGAGCAGAGGAGGGTGCTGCTAGTGACGCGAGCTGTAGATAACATTAACATGCTGTATTGTAGTGTAGTGCACTGCTGCGCTGTGCGTTGCTTGGATGGAGCATGAGTTGTGGCTGACCTGTGTATTTTACAGAATGGGAGTCATTCTGTCCCCAAAGGTTGTTATTTGAAAGGACTGACATCGATGAGAGGTTCTGATTGTCTCTGATGTGGCATTTGGTTTTTTTATGCGGTAAACAGGATGGATGCTCATATATGAGGTTCAAGGTCTTTTATTTTGAACTGTATATCGAATGTCTCTGATTTTTCCTGAGTGACAGCATGGGTGTCCTGTATACCCTGCGATGGTAGTTGTCTTGGATGAGTTGACTACATTCAACTGTAGTTTACAAGTGATCAGTACTGACTCGCTAAAACATCAGGAGGGATACTAGTATGTTAGTTTTCATTCAGTAGCGCATGCTCTTCCTATAGCGTGATTCTTTTGAACTACTCTCGCTATATGAATTCCTGAGATTATTTCTGGTATTACTAGGGATAGGATGTGGCCAAAACCGGGTGTCTGGATCTATATTGCGGAACCTATCAACTTGAGACGGTGAGATATTGTGGATTACTAAACATGACTTCTGGAGTTTTTGTGTATTTAAGACTGATATTTTCAGACAGTGGACCAAAGTCCGGCTCCTAGCTGGTTCTCTTTGCCAGCTCATTTGTGGGATTGTCTTGTTCATACTATATACTCGACGCTTTGTGATTCTATGCAGATTGGACAATAAAGTCTGATTTAAGTGGCCTCTGATATTGTATGTCATGTGTACCAATCTTCTGTAAATATAACTGAAAAGCGTTATGCGTAAGCGAATTTTCCAATTCTCTGTGGAGTGTCAAGGTCATAGGACATGTTTCTATGTCTAACTCATTGTCATCGATAGCACGTTTAGATTGCT